CAAAACACTGCTATGATATCTGACCAGAACCATCAATAACACAGAGCTGAGACTCTAACGCATTATTAACATAAACGTGGAGGAATTCATCAGAGACGTGAGTCACACACATCAGCGGTCAGTGTGGGATGACCAGCACTCGATGGATCGGTCAATCGACCACTTCCACAGATATCGCGAGAAGCGTTGCGTAATTGCTCTTCCCGGCACATTGGCTCGTAAACCAGAGTTTCAGATAAAAGTGCAAACTCAGGGAGTCTGAGAGACGTGTGTTTTTCTGCGCTGTCGGCGTTCCTGCCAGACACAACATGCTATTTCGAGGAGTCATATCTGTAGAGCACATTCCTCCCCGGAATAAGCTTTCTTTGCTCAGACGGAGGGGTTTCTGGGAAGGCTGGCGGGATCTGGTGTGCTGTTAGTTTGTGGTGAGAACGCTGATTTAAGGTAGGGATATTTTAATCTGAGATGCATATCTGTGCATTTGGGATGATATTCTGCTGTGTTTTTGTGAGATTGTCTCCCAGTGCAAAAAGTGATTTCTTGCTCAGTATTTTTTTTTATCTTGTTTTCCAGTACAAATATCCAAACATTCCTAAATCATGATATGTTTACTTATGATACAAAATGACAAAAAATCTTGTTTTTTGAAAAAATGATCACATTTTTCCTTAAAGCAACAATAAATATCGGCCAATGGAGTCTGAAAAATTTAAGCTTATTTTTTCTGACCCCCATTTGCAGATATTTGTTCTTATTTCAAGCATAAACTCACTTCATTTTGAGTCACTTTAACAACTTTGACTTATCTTGTCATTTTATTCTGAAATAAATGAAAGTGAGACTGAAATACACTGATTCTCTACACTGACATTTTTTTCACGGCTAAATATGATTTTCTTTCTTAGTATTTTTGTCTTGTTTTCCAGTAAAAATATCTAAAAATTCCTAAATCATGATATTTTTTACTTATGATGCAAAATTACAAAAAAATTATTTATTTAAAAAAAAAAAATAAAAAAAATCACATTTTTGCTTAAAACAACAATAAATATCTGCCAGTGGAGTCAGAAAAATGTAAGTTTATTTTTCTGACCCCCATTAGCAGATATTTGTTCTTATTTCAAGCATAAACTCACTTCATTTTGAGTCACTTTTTTCAGAAAACAGAACACCAACTCGTTGGCCGGCGACAGCCATGATGTCACTACCGGTGCGACTATAGTATAAATAGGCGCCGGGAGCACACACAGATTCTCTCGCTGTAAAAGTGACATTTTGCATGGCAAAACACGATTTTCTTTCTTAGTATTTTTGTCTTGTTTTCCAGTAAAAATATCTAAACATTCCTAAATTAAGATACATTTACTGGAGATGCACATTGAGATAATGTCTAGTTTATGTTTAAAACAAGATCTCCTAACTGGGTCAGAAAAATAAACTTGTTTTCCTTTTGTTTAAAGTTTATTTTTCTGACTGTATTTGCGGATATTTGTTCTTGTTTTGAGTATAAACTTGCTTCATTTTGATCAGTTTTTCAGAATACAAGATTTATCTTGTCACTTTATTCTGAAGTAAATGAAAACAAGAGTTTTATGAGAATACACAGATTCTGTCTCTGCAAAACTGACATTTTGCGTGGCAAAACATGATTTTTCTTTCTTTCTTATGTTTTGGTCTTGTTCTCCAGCACAAATATATAAACATTCTTCAGTCAAGATGCATTTACTTGAGATGCAAAATGACAGAAGATAATAAATAAATTAATTAAGTGAGTTTATGCTTAAAAAAAGAACACTGTCCAGTGGGCTAGGAAAAATAAACTTGTTTCCTTTTGTATAAAGTAGATTTTTCTGACTCCATTGGCAGATATTTGTTCTTGTTTTAAGCATAAACTCACTTAATTTTGATCAGGTTTTCAGAAAACAAGACTTTTTATCAAATGAAAATGGAAAATATAAAAATAAATATATAAATAAAATACCTGTAATATCACTTACATTTAGGGGGAAAATAATATTACAAATTTTTTGTTCATATTTTAAAATTTATTTTTATATTATTAATTTTCACTTAAATTTTTAATTCAAGTTCTGGTCCTGGATGCTGATTGGCCAGTACAGAAGTTATCGCACATGCTTTAGACAGGATCAGATTCCTTGTTATTCTCAGCAGTGATGTCTTGTCAGTTTCTCTCTCTGTCTGTCATGTGCGTGACTGTTGTCTGTCTGAAGGCCTCCTGCGGCTCTGTTTGTTCAGCAGGTAGTGTTTAAAGCCTCATGCACATGTGGAAGTATCGTGTTCCCTCACTTCTCCAACTGTCACGAGAACAGAAATACGGAAATAGCATCAGTTTGGTTGTGTGTGTCTGAGATCATGTGCTGTATAAGGGCTCTCTCTTTCTCTCTCTCTCGCTCTCTCTCTCTCTCTCTCTCTCTCTCTCTCTCTCTCTCACTCACTCACAGATAGACGGCAAACACAGAACATTCAGTTCAGCTGCTGAAAATGCAGCTGTTTGTGTTAGTCAGCCGTTTTAAAGCCGTTTGGCTCATTTGTGCTCCGAACTGAGGCAGCAGGAGCGAGTCTCATCAGGCCTGCAGTCATAGACGGATGTATTGCTCAGATTGATTGATTAATTGAATTGATTGAGAGTATCAGCACTAATTGTGCTCACTTTAACAAAATTATGAATTATTAATAGGCTATTTGTTATTGAGTATTTTTAGTGGACTTATATATATATATATATATATATATATATATATACAAATAAATATTGCATACACATAAAGGCTGAAATTATGATTATATATATATAAATACATAATAAGAAATAATTTATTATAAATTACATAAATATTCAATATGTTAACAAAAAATAATATAATATTGCTCAGGATTAATTGAATTGATTGAGAGTATCAGCACTAATTGTGCTCACTTTAACAAAATTATGAATTATTAATAGGCTATTTGTTATTGAGTATTTTTAGTGGACTTATATATATATATATATATATATATATATATATACAAATAATAAAAATATTTTTTAATATTTTTACATTTCAAACATTTAAAAAATCTTAATGGCTGTTTTCTTAAAATAAATATTTTATTACATTCATAAAAACACTAGCAGGCTTGATTAGTGTTTTGTTGCACTTTAAGCAATCAAGTGCCTAATTGTGTTTATATAATCACAGCTTATTAAAAATAAAATATTCACATATACATAATATGCATATGTACATATATAAATACATACATTTTCATCAAAACATTTTATTAAGGAATCAGTGTTGTTTCCTTTCACTGGTAGATCTAGTGTGTAAACTAATATTAATAGTTAATCTCACTGATTGTCACTGAACTGACCTTACAGGTTTGCCTTATAGAAATAATATAGTTCGATATAATAGATCATACGAGCGTTCATTTAGTCTGTAAATGCAATGAACTTAAGCTCTGAAAGCAGATAAGGAAATCACAGTTTGAAGAGGCCAAATAAAAGCTGCTTGATTATTAACTAGACTCCAGCAATCATTGACTAACGAAATATCTGATGGTGGACAGTCAGACTGTTACACAACATTAATAACAGACTTCATTCGAAGGGGGTATTTCTTAAAAAAAGGGTGTAGGGTTTGGACAGCTAAATGCTGGTCTGAATGCACACTGCATTTCCAGGAAGAAATGTCTTGAGCAATGTTTTGAGTGTTGTTATTATTGTCCAGAGTTCAGATGTTTGATCAGAAACTGCTGCTTTTCCGTCAAGCTTCCTGCAGCGAGTTTCCAGTAGGGCTGTCAAATTAGCATTTGAGTTTTGTACTTAAATATGATCAATATTCGAATTATATTTGAATTTAAAAGGCATAATTTCAATTAGGGGGAAAAAAGCTTTTGGCTTCTCTCCTGAGGCCACAAGAGGGCGCATCGAGCAAAATATTACTAATGCACGTTTATTCCAAGTTATAAAATAACACGACTATCTTTGAAAAAAGTGCATAATGTTTAAAATAATGTTTATAAACCAAATATAATTAATTAAGTTGCTTAAACAATTAGAAACAAAACAGCATCATGTATGTATTAATACAAAGGACCAAATCACAAAGAGTATGTTTTTCATTTAAAATCAGGAGATGAAGTGGGATGGGGAAAAACCGCCATAAAGTCTCAAAACCTGTTTTTTTTAAAAGTTGAACTTACATTAATTTTAAATGGCTTTCTAAACGTGTGGCTCTTGTGCGAGACGCGAGTGCAACGGTGATAGATGTCCCTATAGAACATGCGATAAATATGCGTTCTGTGTGAACGACTTGGTTTCAGTTTTGCTGTAGATGATCTCTGCATTGATGTTCTCTTTTTCCGCAATATTTTGAATGAGCAGCGCCGCATCTAGTGGGTTCAACTGGATAGGCTAACAAAAGCATTAAAGGGGTCATCAGATGCCCATTTCCCACAAGTTGATATGATTCTTAAGGGTCTTAATGAAAAGTCTATAACATACTTTGGTTAAAATTTCTCAATGGTAGTGTAAAACAACACCCTTTTTACCCTGTCAAAAACAGCTCTATTCACAGCCATCCGTTTCGGTGCATGTCCCTTTAAATGCTAATGAGCTGTGCTGACCCCGCCCCTCTCTTCCATGGAGTGACGAGCCGTTCTCATGAGACTGTTTACTTTAGCCGCAGAACTTGCTAACTAGCATATTATTAGGAAAGGTAATTTGCAAAGATTTAAAAAAAAAAACCACCTTATATTCACTTCTTCTGTAGTGAAGCTGGATCACGAATGATTCATATCACTGTATATAATAATATAAAATAGTATGATTTCTGCTCATTCTGTGATATGAAACCACGTCCGATCACAAAGTTATTTCAAACACTCGACTGATGTTATGTTAAGTTAATTTGGAGAAAAAGCATGTCAATAAATGATATCTTTGTTGGACAACAGGTTTGTAAACAAGCTCATACACATGCAAAACTGTGCTACTATAGTACATTTATTCAAGGCTCAGACCGATTTTTGTCGCACTGTACAGCCCTGACCAAACCAGTTCCAGACTGTAGAAGGAGCTCCTCGTTTAGCGATATCTTCCTCCGATATTTTCCTCAGTTTCACATCCGTCTTCCGCCATGTCGCTTCGTATGGTCGCACACAAAAATGTCAACAACTAGGCTTTATCGTTATTATCGCGGGAAGATTAAAGGTCTTTGCACACAGAGTCAGAAATTCTCGTCCGAAATTTTCGCACGTTAAAAAATAAATACCTCACGTTGTGTCAATCACGTTTACACACTTCCTCCGAAAGTTTCGTCCATCATAAAAAAAAATTCAGATCAGGTTCGATTTTTAGCGTTTTCGTATCCGTAACAAGAATTTTGATAGGAAAAGATAACGGATACACAAAAATGAAAAAACGCATACGAAAATGTGTGCAAGGACCTTAATTCTTATCGTGGGGAGAATTTTTACCGGTATATCGCAAACGATAAGATACCGCCCATCCCTAATTCAAATACAACGTTTTTGTATTCGAATGTGGATTTTTTTTTTTAATTCGACAAATAATCAAAATTCGAAATTTTATTTGACAGCCCTAGTTTCCAGTTCACGATTGATGGACTTTATCCATCACTTGCAGCACGGCGTCCAGTATGGACGGTCCCAGATCCAGACTGAACGTGAACGCCGAGTCCATTTGGTCCGGCTGTGTTTCCTCTGGGTTGGTTTGGGTCGAATCCCGTCCGGAGCTCAGGCTGCCGCGTGCAGGACTCCAGCTGATGCCAGTCGTCTCTGTGTGTGAACACGTGTCCTCGTCTTCCTCCATGTCCAGGAGGGGAAGCGAGCTGCACTTCTGCCTCTGATGGGCCGGGGTGTGTTCCCAGACCGGGCTGCACCGGCCCGCTTCGTCCAGGTTGATGCGAGGCGGCTTGGGCGGCGGCGGGAGGAACAGGTTCTGCTCGCTCTTGGAGCTCTGCAGCAGGAGACTGTGGCCCTCCTTCAGGAACGACAGGTCTCCGAAACTTTCGGTGTGTCCGTCTGTGCCGATGTGAGACAGGTGACGGAAATCACCCAGAGGAAGGCTGATCATGTTGACCGACAAAACCTCCTTTCGGTTCGACTGCCTCCTCTGCCAGCGTCCAGACGTGGGTTTGCGGAGTAACGACGTCCCCAAGGGCATCTTAAGACTTCAGCAGTGAGACAGCAAGTGATGAGCGTCAGCTGGTGGCAGAAAGCTTGGTTCTGGAACAGATTAGAGGAAAAAGTCATCAAACCTCACAATAATTGTAGTTAAAATTACCCGACACTAATAAACACTTTTATTCAGCAAGGATGCATGATTCAATTTATCAAAAATGAATATAAAAAAAAATAATTACTATAATTACTATAAGACTTGTTGATAAAAAATTTAATATAATATATATATATATATATATATATATATATTCTTTTATTTTGTATTTTAAGAAATTATTACAT